TTTCTAACAATTAAGAAGTGCAAAATTTTGAATCCTTTGCAAATCAAGCTATAATGATAAAAGTTAAGTATCACTATTTTCAATAAGTATATTACAATATTTCTGTATGAATGTATATCCTTCTATAAGAATACATGTATATAGTTGCAAAATCAATAGCAATCATTTACAACATTCATTTATAAAGGCAATTATGTGAAAATAATATATTATCCGCTATATGCCATAAATTAAAGAAAACAGTAGGTTTTTGAAAATTTTTACTGGTAAAAACACGGTTTTTACCACTGTCATGTCAAAAACCAGTTTTTGACGGCAAAACCCAACCCTGATATATATATTACATGTTCAACTCCGTAGCCTTGTATTGTTAAACCCTATCCATAAGACAAAGGAACTCCTGCATCAAGTATTGGGAGAAATTTGCCTTCGTGGAGGACTAATTGATGGAACTAATCAGCATTTGCTTTATATGTAGAGGAAAACCACGAAATCCTCCCTCGGTAAGCCTGATGGCAAGGGGACTCTAAAACATGATCTGTGTACCAATGAGTACATTTTTACGTCAGCGCTGTTGTCGGTGCAAGCCGGATGCGGAATTCGTATCGACCAGCTATCGCAAGGTTCGAACCAGGCTCAAATCACAGCGATGTCTGCGAAAAAAATTACATTTATATAGATTCTTACATTATTTTAAATTTTATTTTTGTCGAGATTTCTATCCTGGCTACAGGTCTGCGTAAATACGGGATTCAATGAAATAGAGTTCATTAAGAATGAATTGAATTATTTGTATCGCCGCTAATGATGAAATAAGGGAAAGTAATCCTCTCGTGTGACGTCACGGAGAAAGATGACGTTTGTCAGATGTCACCTGTATGGCTGTTTTCTTCTCCTGTCACAACAAATCATCCTGTGGGATCGCCATGTTTTCTTTGCGAAATTTCATCCTGTGTCGTAAGTGCTTCTTCTCTTTATTAAGTTTTCATTTATTGCTAGCGATCTGGAAATATCTATATAACTTTTGAGGGACAAACTCTTTACATTCTAGTTAACTTCAAACTCTTTAACTTCAAGTTAAATCTAGTTCTCATTAAGTTCGGTAAAGTTTCCCCTTACAAAACGGCTAAATAATAAAAAAGAAATTAAGGAAAAAATACAATTATTAATAGATTATTATCAAATATTTTTTATTTTTTCAATTCATATTATTAGTTCACACTCTCCCTATATATCTTGTTCAAATTTTCAATCGTTAATAAAATACATTTTATTTATCCACTCAACTTCAAATACATTTTCTTTTAAACTTGCAGTGAATGACACTTGATGTGAATACAGTTTTTTCTTTTTTAAATATTAAATAATTCATTAAATAGGGATGAGCGAAAAACGAAATGGAATTTTCTGATGGGTTAAGCGTTAGTTTTTAATTTGACTATAAGCGATTCAGTTTTGCACCTTCTAACTTATAGCTCTATTTGAACAAAAAAAAAAAAAAAAAAAAAAAAAAAANGAACAAAAAAAAAAACAGTACGAGGTAGCACGTGTGGTAAACGTCACCCAATTTACACTTTTATAGTTATCTGATACCAAGCGGATTTTTATTTCAATTGGGTATACTATAGCCTACGTCACAGGTTGTGTTATTCCTACTAAATTTAACCCATGAACGGCATTTTCTGCCAGCATAACTTCAAGCCACAAATAAACAAACGAAGTGTTTGATCGTTTAAATAGCTGCTCGCCAGATTTTATTGCATTATAAAGAAAAGTAATTGATATTCGATTTCTGATTAATAATTGATTTATGTGGATAGTGGCATAGAATTTAGCATTGCGTCATGGTAAATGTTATTCCTACTAAGTGGAAGTAGTTGTGTTTTTTTTTATATTATACCCAAGTCCTACTATTAGTTCAAAATCTTGTTCACATTTTTAATCTTTAATAAAATACTTTTTATTCATCCACATACAAATACAGTTTTATATATAGTGGACGACTCTTGACGTTAACACAGTTTTTTTTAAATATTAATTCATTTATTAAATTTAATTCATTAATTTTATATTAAATTTAGAGAAAAAAATTTCAGTTATTTAATAAAAAGTGACTGAAATATTTTTTTTTCTTGCTGACCTAAGTAGAATTGATTGAAATTGAATTGAATTTTTTTTTAAATATTACTTGTTTTATCTGAAAATCAATTTTCTACTATTGACTGGTATGTATTAAAACTATGCATTATATGAAATTGCAGGTAAAATAATATTTTGCACAATTTTTAAAATAAAAGAGAATACTGAGAGAAAAATTAAAGTGAGAAAAATAATAGGATTATTTTATAAGTCCAGATCTCTAAAAACTTTTCGTTTGTTTTCTTACTTCAGTATTGTGCTATATAGAAGAAATTGTTACGAATAAAATTTTGTGAATGCTTTGATTACTATTATTGAGATATGCTGGGGTCGCTTGTTTAAATTATATATTTGATTTTTTCAGCGTTAAAAAGATACGGTTAAAAAGTTGTAAATCTAACATATATCGATCCTTAAATATGAGGAATTCAAATCAAATAAATGCAATTTTAATTAGCTTTGACTACAGTTAAAATTTTTATCACAACTTCAGAAACTTTCGTAAAAAAATGGAAAAATATTTTTAATTTAATCTCTGACTTACCCATTTTCCACTTTGTATTTAACATTTGTTTTTAAATCGATTTTCTTTCCCTCTTTTTCTAAAAAACCACAGACATATCCATATAGGGCTTTTATTTTTATATTAACAACCATCATTGGACAGTCGACCCAATTTAGGGTTCACGACTTTTAATGATCAGCCTTGTAATTTTTGAACCCAATCCGGAAGACAAGGGAACTCCTGGATCTAGTATCGGGAGAAATTTGCCTTCGTGGAGGACTTTCTGATGGAACTAACATACTTTTGCGTTCCATGGAGAGGAAACCCACGAAGACCTTCCACGGTTAACCTGACTGTAACGCATGATACGTCTACCGATGAGGATATTTTACGACAGTTCTGTGGTCGGTGCGAGTCAGATGCGGAATCCCTATCGACCAGCCATCACTGGGATTCGAACCCGATTCACCTCGTTGGAAGGTGAATGCTCATTTACCTGAGCCATTACTGCTGAAAAATTTAATATTATTTAAATGATTCAATATTTAAATTAAAAGTTTACTTGCATTTCATTATTTGCATATATATATATGGGTCATTCTCACAAAAACAGTCATTTTCATGTCCCCAGTATATTTTATGTTTGTTTTACAGCTTACGAAAAAAAAAATTTCAGGGAAAGTGTCCTTCAGAATGCAAGCTAACAAAAGAATAAAAATAAAATTATCAATTTTTATTTTTTATTAATTTTAGGTAATAAAAATATACCAATATGTCATTCCCTCACTTGTCCCCACTGCTGATTTAAAAAAAGAAAAAAATTGTTTCTGAAATAAAAATTTTTTTTTTACAAATTCGTGTTTTTTATTTCAGAATACTGAAATATAGAATTCAGAAAATCAATTTTATATACTATAGGTGATAAAAATATTAACACAGCACTATTTTAAACTTTGTCCCCAGTGTTTCGCGTCATTCCCTCACAACAATTATCTTATCACTTGCAATCTTCTTAGAATAAAAATATTTTAATAAAAACTTCAGAAGTTAACAACTGGCATCATAGAACAAAATTGCAGTTTGTTTCCGTCTTCAATTTAAAGAAGCTTTGCTGTGAAATAAATTTGAATGAATCAGACCAGGTAAAATGTTTTACATTTGTCATTCCCTCATGTCATTTTTTAGAGTAAAATAAAATACAACTTCATCGAGAAAGTGGATAATTATATGTTGCTTTCTTGTATGAATATAATTGTATGTGATTGACTTCAGAAATTAATTAGGCCTAACTGNACTACGTCAAAACGAGTACTGGTTTGGAAACGGGCTTGTTCCGGCCACACAAAGAAACGAGCACAGCGTTACGGAACCGATTGAAGGCGATGTAAAGAAAACGGAATAGTTAAGAGCCCATTATGCCTCGATTATTAACATATAATGTCAAGGGTTGTTTTTTTCCTGTAGAAAGATTAATTAATTAAGCAAATATTTACGTTTTGACTATTAGGTCTGCTAAAATATATATTTTATACAGCATTAATTTTTATTTCAAATACGTTAATTAATTGCTGACACAAAAGCTTACTTTTTGTGTTTTTTTTCTCTTGATGGATTTGGTTCTTTTGACAAACAAAGTACGGACCACAATCTGGAAAACATGGTCCCAATTATACAATCGAGATGTTTGGGCGACCTAATGTTGACTTAATTTTAGCGTACTTCATCCTACCTCTGGAATTTTCTAAATCGAAAACTTTTTCACACACAGTTTTTAAATTGATTTATCTTAAGATAAATTTTACGAAATTTTTTTCTTTCTAATTATTATTATTTTATTTCCATAGGGATGAAAAAAATTTAAAATTGTAAAATATAGAAATTTTTTACCAACTATAACAATTTTGAAAGAGAGTTTACCAAAAAATGGTCAATAGTTTCTATGTCTTTGAATTGCGATTTTGAATTATCGGTCGCTTAATTGTAAAAAAAAGCTATAATTATAAACCTTCCTTTCTCAAGCAAATTGCTCAAGATTCGAGGATTGCGTGCTGGGGTGTAACCTCTAATATTTTATTTTATAACCGTCGTTGAGAAGCTAAAACCCAATTTTTTGGGGTTTACGTCTACTAATGCTCAACTTAGTAGCCATTTTGAACCCAATCGAGAAGACAAGGGATCTTCAGGATCAAGCATCGAGGGAAATTTGCCTTCTTGGAGGATTTATTGTTAAATCTAACCGCATTTGCGTCACATGAAGAGAAAGACCACGAGAACCTCTTACGGTTAGCCTGACGGTAAGGGGACTCTACCCATGATCCGTCAACCACTGAGGATATTTCACATCTGCACTGTGGTCGGTGAAAGCCGGATGCGGAATTCGTATCCAGTAGCCATCGCTGGGATTCGAACCCAGTTCATCTCATTGGAAGGCTAAAAATCCCCTGAGCCATCGCTGCTCGCACTAAAGTATTAGTGAAGTATTAGTGCTCAAATATTCGTATGAAGTATTAGTGCGTAGTGAAGTATTAGTGCTCAATCCTTTGAACCATGAAAATTTGCACTTGGGTCATTATCATTTGAACAAAATATATTTAGGGTAATATTTTTTTCCACACTGTTTTTTTTTAAATTTATGAAACACTGTATTAACGGGCCACACAAGTTTCATTCTGAATATATTTCATCTCATACTTCTGCCATGATTACAAATAGATGCCATTTTCCATTTATTTTTCTCGTTTAGTCAACTATTTATTTAAAAGTAAAACTTGATTTAATATTAAAGTGAAACATTATTAGCTTGTATGAGTAATTATTTTTTTTTCAGTTTCAATTGTTGCAATCGTACTTGGTGTGCTTTTGAACCTTTTCATACAGTGGATTTGCTCAACTCCTGGAATTATCAGAAAACCTCTGCCAAAATATGATTACATCGTGGGTAAGTTTCCTCACCATTAGCGCTAAACATACCATTACCGGTCAAATGACCGTTTAAGAACTTTTGCATCGAAAATGCGCTTATCATCTTATCGTTTTTGCACATTTGACTTCATGACTTTTTCTAACAATTATATACAATTAATACTCTATTATTATTATTATTTGTATTTTTTTTGTATCGAATTACATGTCAAATATCTATTTCCACCACTGCCGGTCATTTGACCGGGACAACAATTTATTGATATATAAGGTAATCGGATCAGAAATTACGATGTAATGCGTGCTCAACGTGTTGCATTCGATGAGTTTCACATTTCTACAAAGACTGTTGAATGGTTAGTTCAATCACAATAACTGAGAATTCAAATTTCAATAAAGTACCTAAAAGTTTAGATTGGCATTTTTGTGTCAGAAAAAGTGACAAAAACTAAATGTATTGATAAGTAGCTTATATTTTATTTGGATAGCTTTACTTCATTTCTAACTATATGTCAGTTTTCATCCAGAAAAACCTCGAAACAACCAAGACAGCACAAGTTCTTAGAAGAAATAATATTAATTATAAGAATAATTATAAAAATTATAATCTTATATATTCTTATGGACGCCCAGTGGCTGAGTGGTAGCGCTTCGCTCTCCCGTGGCACAGGTTCTGGGTTCGATCCGCGGGCCGGGCAAGGTTGACTCAGCCTTTCATCCCTTCAGTGGGTTGATAAATGAGTACCAAGCATGCTTGAGAACTAAACACTGGGGGTTACGCGTTCGGCTGACCACCTAACCGGAACCCCAGCACCCCAGAGCCCAAGGTCAAGAAAACTGAGATGGGCAGCACAGTAGGCTTTGGCCCTCTATGGGCTGTCGCGCCACTGAGTTTAGTTTAGTTTGGTTTATATATTCTTATAATTATAAGAATAATTATAAGAATCATAGAAATAATTAGAAGAAATATGTTTGCGGAAAATGTACTATGGAAACACCCTGTGTATGTAAAAAATGCGTTCAGCAATGAATTAAAAATTCTTGTTCTTTGTGTTTGTAATACATAAACATTGGCAATATACAATTAATTATAATAAAGTTTTTCTGTTTTTTTCCTTCCTAACACCCATTCAATCAAGAAGTCCAGTCATTTAACGGTGGAAATAGGTATATTGATTATTATGGAAAATACCCTGACTAGGAATAANAATTACGATGAAATGCGTGTTCAACGTGTTGCATTCGATGAGTTTCACATTTCTACAAAGACTGTTGAATAGTTAGTTCAATCAGAATAACTGTGAATTCAAATTTCAAGAAAGTACCTAGCATTTTAGATTGGCATTTTTATGTCAGAAAAAGTGACAAAAACTAAATGTATTGATAAGTAGCTTGTATTTTAATTGGATAGCTTTACTTCATTTCTAACTAAATGTCAGTTTTCACCCAGAAAAATCTCGAGACAACCAAGACAGCACAAGTTCTTAGAAGAAATAATATTAATTATAAGAATAATTATAAAAATTATAATCTTATATATTCTTATGGACGCTCAGTGGCTGAGTGGTAGCGCTTCGCTCTCCCGTGGCACAGGTTCTGGGTTCGATCCTCGGGCCGGGCTAGGTTGACTCAGCCTTTCATCCCTTCAGTGGATCGATAAATGAGTACCAAGCATGCTTGAGAACTAAACACTGGGGGTTACGTGCTCGGCTGACCACCTAACCGGAACCCCAGCACCGCAGAGCCCGAGGTCAAGAAAACTGAGATGGGCAGCACAGTAGGCTTTGGCCCTCTATGGGCTGTCGCGCCACTGAGTTTAGTTTAGTTTATATATTCTTATAATTATAAGAATAATTATAAGAATTATAGAAATAATTAGAAGAAATATGTTTGCGGAAAATGTACTATGGAAACACCCTGTGTATGTAAAAAATGCGTTCAGCAATGAATTAAAAATTCTTGTTCTTTGTGTTTGTAATACATAAAAATTGGCAATATACAATTAATTATAATAAAGTTTTTCTGTTTATTTCCTTCCTAACACCCATTCAATCAAGAAGTCCAGTCATTTAACGGTAGAAATAGGTATATTGATTATTATGGATTATTATTGATAATATTTATACACCAATTAATCCTTATAAGGTTTTAGATTGTCCACGCAAGTAGAAAAATTATTTTCAGACTTGAAAATTTCTAAAACAACCGCAGTTGTAGCGAGGCAGCTCTAGCTATTTATCGATAATTTTGCAAATCATGAAATTTCTCATAAATTTGTGCAATCGTACGCTTCATCTTTTGCACCTCATTAATTTTGCACCTCATAAATTTTACAACTCACAGATTTTGCACCTGATGAAATTTCGCACCTCATAAATTTTGCACCTCATGAAATTTCGCACCTCATAAATTTTGCGCCTCATAAAATTTTGCACCTCATAAAGGTTTCACCTCATGAAATTTTGCACCTCATAAAAGTTTGCACCTCATATGTCTGGCACCTTATAAAATTTTTGCACCTCATAAAGGTTTCCAACTCATATATTTTTGCACCTCATAAAACTTTGCACCTCATAAAATTTTGTACCTCATGAAATTTCGCACCTCATAAAAGTTTGCACCTCATATATTTTTGCACCTCATAAAAGTTTGCGCCTCATAAGTCTGGCACCTTATAAAATTTTTGCATCTCATGAAATTTTGCACCTCATAAAAGTTTGCACCTCATACATTTTGCACCTCATAAACTTTGCACCCCATGAAATGTTGCACCTCATAAAAGTTTGCACCTCATATATTTTTGCACCTCATGAAATTTGCACCTTATAAAATTTTGCGCCTCATAACTTTTGCAACGCCGATTTGAACACGCCTTCTTCGATGGATAGTTCACATTGTAATTCCTTATAATGTTTTTTCAAAAGATGATCATAGTTCTTAAACCATTTCTTATGTAAATATTTGCCTCATCTTTTGTAGACATTCGCAGTCGCCCTCATAAATAAATAAGCAGAGACCTAAATATTTGATGTAACTACGTCAAAACGAGTACTGGTTTGGAAACGGGCTTGTTCCGGCCACACAAAGAAACGAGCACAGCGTTACGGAACCGATTGAAGGCGATGTAAAGAAAACGGAATAGTTAAGAGCCCATTATGCCTCGATTATTAACATATAATGTCAAGGGTTGTTTTTTTCCTGTAGAAAGATTAATTAATTAAGCAAATATTTACGTTTTGACTATTAGGTCTGCTAAAACTCAGATCTGTCGCTAAATTCAGTTAATGAACTTTATGACGTCACAAAATAAAAAGATCACCCTTCAAACTTTTCTCAACCATTGTTAAATTTAATAAAAATAAATGGTCCAAAAAAAAAAGATAATCAAAACGTGAAATTAACATTGAAAGGCTCTCTAATAGGATCCTCGATTTATTCCCTTACATAATTCAAAAATCCGCCAAACTCCGAAAAAGCACGCTTTTGCGTCTGATATTGTAACTTAAAATATTCTCTACACAAATGGATGGCAAACTATTCTGAGCTACAGCACCATTTTTTAATCCCGCAGTGGACTGATCGTAAGGGCACCGTCCCCAGTAGAACACCGAAGTCAAGTATCACTGGTTGCGGTCAGTGAGCGGGTGGGTGACCACTTTGATCAGCCTGCTTAGGGGTCGAGGGTGTGCGGTATCGGTCCTCGTTAAACTGTTCTACCATAAAGTGCTCGACTTCGCGCAGGTCGTCGGTTTTCCGAAGCAACGGATTCATTCCCTCAGCAGAGGTTCAGGATGACATGTCTTCGGATCGTCCTCAGGGATGTTTCCCAGACCGTCGCCAATAGCTCATTGTGCAGCTCTACTGTGACTTAAATGAAGTACCTACCTATAGTTCGTTCACCATTAGTTTGCACTTGACTCCACCTCCTCGGACGTAGAGTTCAGCGTGGGAGTAAGAGGAGAAACGTCTCCGCGCTTGAAATTGAGACACCCTTAACGCGCGCCAAACACTAACAGCGAATTCTTGTTCAGTCACTTACTTCGCTTCATCATCTGCTATTATACCTTTTGTTACTCTAGATAATGAAATATATTGCAGCAAAATGTCTCAAAAAGGACAAACTATTCACTCAAAAGAGAGAAATATCAAATTTATAAAATATTTTATAATTAAAAAAAAATGCTCATAAAGGTTGAGAAATAAATATTTATGTCATACGATCACCAAATAGCAACCTTGTTTTGGGTTGTTCACAACCTTCTCCCCAAAATAGCGAATTAGTATCGTCTGATACCACGTGATAAAGGCGGAGCCAAGTGCCAACTCCTGGTGAGCGAACTGTACCTCCATATCATTTTTAACCCGACTGCTAAACGAAAAAAAAAAATTAAGACATTTATTGTCTATAAACTCAATGTTTCTAGTAAATATAAAATCAATGTTAATGCAATTTACCAAAAATGCCTGCGTAGGCTACTAGTATTTCATGATATTGGCAATCAACAAGATAGCATGTAATCTGTACTTAACTATGCAAATTGGTTTTTGTTGTGTAGTGGGTGGAGGGACAGCTGGTTGTGTGGTGGCCCGCAGATTGTGGGAGAGAACAAATGCCTCTGTACTCTTGATTGAAGCAGGCAGTACACCCTCTTGGATGGCATCCATACCCCTTCTAGCCCCCGCTCTCCAGCACACCTCCAGTGACTGGGCTTACAAGACCACATCTCAGAAGTACTCACAAAAAGGACTTCTCAATGCAGTAAGTACAGCCATTTCTTTTGCTTTATTTGGGGGTATAATTATTGTTACTGTTCAGTATACTATTGTGACATTATACTTCATATAGGTTATCCGCTCACCTGGAAAGTCATGAAAAAATCATGAATTTCGGTATTGAACAAAATTTGTCATGAAATGTTATGATTTTAACTATTATGTTTAAAATAAAAAATCAAGGATTTAGGTCGCCAAAAAATCAAATTTTTAAAATGGAATGTATCCCCTCCCCCCCCAATTTCATGATGTTCCGAATATCTGAGTTTGTAACAAAATCCCCACTCACCGTCATATTTTGTTGAAACATGAAATGTTTGTATCATGTTCATTGAAAATTATGGTGTTCTTTTAAAAAATGAAAGAAACATTTCTAAAAACATTCTAAAAAACATTTCTAAAGCGAATTATCTTTTAAACTTCTGTTTTTTCAGAATTTCTATTATTATTTTTTATTTTATTTTATCAATTTAAAATTCGATTTGAAGCAAGCCAGCAGGCGAATCTTTTTTATTGAATGAGAACAGAAAAATCAGGAGTATTTCTTTTCTTTCCGATGAACAAGAAAAGTATCTTTAGAATATAATTCTGCAGAAAAAAAAGAAAATTATTTGCTTTTGTATTTTTTCAGCTATTTTATTGATTCAGCTCTTTCTTTACTGTTTTTTAAATTTAAAATCTATAAATATGAGAATGCAGTGTATAACAGTTTTGGTTATACCTATCATTTCAATGAATGTTATTATAATGCTTTTTTAAATGTATTGTTGTGTTTTTGTGGGAGAAAATAGTAACTTCGTTAAGTTATAAAACATTCTTGGAATTAGTGATGGAATGTCAGGAAAAGTCATGGATTTGAAAATCGAAAATATAGCAGATACCCTGTTCATATGAAATTTGAGACCTCAGAAAAGGTTCAAAATTTTTTTTAGCAATAAAAGGATAATAAATTTTCTTTGAGCAGCGATGGAGATAGAGTACTCGTCTACCTATGCGAGCACACAAGTTCGAGCCCCAGCGATGGCTGCTTCCTGCTCGCACCGACCACCGTGCTGACGGAAAATATTCTCAATGCTAGACGAAACATAAGTTAATTTCCTTGCCGTCAGGTTAACCGTAGGAAGTTTCCGTGGTTTTCTTCTCCATGCAGCGCAACTACGGGTTAGCTACGCCAAAAAGTCTCCACGAAAGCCTGTTTATCTCAATCTTTAATAACTAAAAAATCTGGAATTAAATATCCATTTTCGAACTCAATTTATGTGAACTATTTTAATACATAATAATTTTTAAGCCCAAACTAAACAATGGACTAAATATGTCTAATTTTGGTTCTGAAATAATTCTAGTTTAGCATGAATTCGAATAAAAATAAAGCATGTTCAATTTTCACTAGATTTTATTTTTATATTGTTTTCACCATGAGTATTTCTCATTCAGTGTATTTCAGTGTATGAAAGCAACTTTTTTAAATCGAAAAAATAAATAATAAATTAATAAAAATAAAATTAGTAATAAAATTACTAAACTGTAAAAATATTTAAATAACTAATTTTATGTAGATCTTAAAATAATTAAATTGAGCAAATATCGAATCTTCTAAATTATAATTACGTCAAATATGAATATTTTTTATAAATATAGATAGTGTACGTTATATCCGCCGTTAATATATACAGCGAAGAGCCATTACATTATGACCGCCCTCCATCTATAACAATGGACTCGCCCAGGTTTTCATGGTTTCTCGCCCAGGAACAATGTTCTCATGAGGCACATTAGGACCCATAATCCTCATAGAACAATCCCTGACGTCTGTAAGGTACTTGAACATAGTAGTTGCAGACCAGGTTCACCCATTCATGGCAACAGTTTTTCCTGCTGGGGATGGTGTTTACCTACAGGATAATGCACCATGTCATAAGGGTCGAATCGTCATGGATTGGTTCGAGGAACATTCCAGTGACTTTCAAGTCATGTCTTGGCCCCCAAATTCACCTGACCTTAATCCAATAGAGCATTTGTGGTCCTACTTGGAAAACCAAATTCGTGCTGCCACGCTACCCCCTCGCAATGTGAGGGAATTGCAGGACCAGTTGGTGAGCGCTTGGGACCAGATACCTCAGACTACCTATCAGCACCTTGTGGAATCAATGCCACGGCGGGTGCTAGCAGTTTTGAGGGCTAAAGTTATTAGCAGGGTGGTCATAATGTAATGGCTCTTCTGTGTATATATTCAGAATCTCTATCAGAATCTAAGAAATTAGTATATAATCAAGAAAAACCGAACAAACAAAAACGTTATAGGGAGTTGAAGATTTATTAACGAGGAAAGCAAGATTGAAGAAATCACAATCTGTTTGATTGCCTCTTTCACAAGAATACGAAATAACTTTAGTTTTTTCTGGAGATACATCAGAAAATATATTTTCGAAGCATTAACTGTGTATAATGACTTCTAATTTATTGCAATACAAGCACTGATTTGAAGTTTCGTTATTTTTTTAATTTTTTAAAATTATGATATTAAAGTGCCTTCACATAAGCTTCAGTAATTTTGTAAACAACAACTATAAGTTTTATTGAAACAAATTACTGAGAAATTATTTCATAATGTTTCTAGTAAATATAAAATCAATGTTAATGCAATTTACCAAAAATGCCTGCGTAGGCTACTAGTATTTCATGATATTGGCAATCAGCAAAATTACTGAAGTATTTTTAACTGCTAAGATTGCATAACAGAAAATCTGCAGGTAACTGTGGATATTTAATTTGTGGCGATTTTAATGCTCATCATGACTTCTGGGGATATAACAACAGTGATGCCAGGGGCGATGCTTTACTAGATTTCATAACATCTAATGATTTGAAAATTCTTAATATCCAGCCAGCGACACCGACATTAGTAACCTCCTTAACTTCATTATTTCCTGATCTTACTTTAACAAATAATCCAGATGTTTTAACATCCACAACATGGAATGTAATGGATATAAACAGTAATTCTGACCATAAGTACATATTTATCCTAGTAAATAACTCATACTCTTTTTCCTCATTCACGCGATTCAAAACGAAATACGGAAATCATAATAAGTTCAGAAAAGTTTTTTCAACTTTTAACCTAGACCTAATAGATGATTTAAATACAATTCAAAATCATTCAGACCTAAACAATTTTACGAATAACTTAATTAATAAAATTTTTATAAGTTGTCAACAAACTTACAAAACTATCTTTTTCATCGTCCAACAAATGCCACTTGATGGACAACACAGTTAACAATTTATAAAAAAGAACTGCAAGCAATTAAAAGACGCTTTCAAAGATCAAATGATATAGAGGTTATTAATAAATATAAAACAATTTATAAGAAAAAAAGAGCAGAGTATAAAAAACATATTATACTAGCTAAATATAAAAGTTGGCAGATTCTTTGCGAAAATACTAAGAATATTTACGGTGCCCATTATAAATCTTCATTCAGAACAAATTCATATCCAACAATACTCACAAATATATACAACAACAATTCTCAACTTGACGAAGCAAGCAGCATTCTCAAAAATCTTTATCCTGACGATAATATTATTCCTACACGTCCACTAATTTACAGTAATAACACACCGGATCCCCCATTCACACACAATGAGCTACAACGCCTAATTAAAACTCTTAACAGCAAAAAAGCATCCGGCATCTATGGAATAGATTACATTGTAGTTAAAATTTTATTCTCATTTTTCAGTACTTTAATACTTAAATTTTTCAACAAATGTCTCGCTCTAAATTATTTTCCAGATCATTTTAAGAAAGGTCAGGTTTTACTTTTTCTAAAAAAGGGCAAAGATCCAAAACATTTAACATCTTATCGCCCAATAACCCTTCTACCTTGCTTGGGAAAATTTCTGGAAAAACTTATTATTAATAGACTAAATTTTCATTTGGAAAATTTAAACGCACTTTCAGATTTTCAATACGGTTTCAGATTCGGCAAGTCNAAGATCCAAAGCATTTAACATCTTATCGCCCAATCACCCTTCTACCTTGCTTGGGTAAATTTCTGGAAAAACTTATTATTAAAAGACTAAATTTTCATTTGGAAAATGTAAACGCACTTTCAGATTTTCAATACGGTTTCAGATTCGGCAAGTCAGTCCATTTAGCTTTGGATAATTTTAAAAATAACTTAACACACCTAAAAAATAATTACAAACACGTTGCAGCTATATCTTTAGATATTAAAAGTGCTTTTGACAACGTTCAATTTAGTATAATTAATTATGAGTTGTCAAAACATCATATTCCCTCTAATCTTTGCCTTTTCATAGAAAGTATAAACACAAATAGACAAGCAATTGTTTCAACAGATCAAGGTTACGTAACTAAAAACATTTTACAAGGTTGTCCCCAGGGGTCACGTATTGGTCCTACAGCATGGAATCTTACTATCAATAGTTTGCTTAACATAAATTCTGAAAATTATATGATCCAAGCTTTTGCAGACGATCTGATTATACTGACTTTTGCCAACTCAAGAAGAAATTTGGAAGAGATTACAAATAATTCCCTGAATGAAATTCACGCATGGCTTATTCAAATGCTCTAAATCTCTCTATAGAAAAAATAGTTTACATCCACTTTTATAACACAGATCGCAGTGCAATATTTAAAATCAATAATATTAAAATTAAACATTCTAATCATTTTAAATATCTAGGAGTAGTCATTGATAAAAAATTAAACTGGGGTTCTCACATTAATCTTTTAAAACAAAAATCTAAAATATTAGTAATAAATCTTAAAAATATTAAAATTCGCTTCAAAAAATCAACCAAAAATCATGGGGTATCAACCAAAAAGCGAGAAAATTAATATACAATACAGTAATAATTAGCTCATGGTTGCAACCTATGGGCTACGAATATCTCTCCACGTATTTATAGCACTTTACAATCTATTCAAAGAAAATTTCTTTTAAACATGAGTAGAGCATATTATTCTACCCCAACGGCAGCACTTCAAGTACTAACAAATATTCCTCCTTTTTCAGAACAGATTATGTCAATATCTTGTTCAACAACCGTAACTCACCTCAAAAAAGATGCCAAATTTAATAATATAACGTATAATACACTAGACTATGAGAAAAAGCTAAAAATACCACATCGCCATCCTTCTTTTCACACAATTAACAAAATAACTTTAGTAGAACAGAATAATTTTGATTTTAACAGAAAAACAAACTATTTTACAGATGGCTCGAAGACAAATACAGGCACAGCTTTCGCTTTCCTCAATATTACACATTCACAAAGCTACACATTAGACAAGGAAAATTCAGTCTTTCAAGCCGAACAGTTGGCAATCTTTGAATGCATTAAATACATTAAGAGCACTGAAAACTTCAATAATAACGATACTTATGTAATCTGGTCAGACTCAAAATCATCAATATCATCAATACTTGATTTTGGCACAAGTAATAGAATTTCTTTTGATATTCAACAAGAACTACAACACACATCAATTCAAATTTCCTGGATTAAAGCACACAGCAATAGAGTAGGTAATGAAAAAGCAGATGATTTAGCTAAACAATCTACGAGACAACCGAAAAATTATGTATACCCACTTCCAGTTTCATATCTTAAACGACGTATTAAAG